GTCCCTCTTCAAGCTTCATGTTGACATAGATGTTATGGGCATTTGGGTAATGGTTGTCATGGTGTTCGCTGTGATGGTGTGTGTTGTGGCGATGTTTATGATGGTGTTCGTTGTGATGGTGATTGTCATGATTGTCATCTCCGGTGTTTGTTGAATCGCTGTCATCGGCGATGTTGGTGGAATCGCTGTCGTTGGTATGGGTGCTTTGGCTGTCATCGACATTGTCATCGTGGTCAGCATGTGTATTAGTAGAGCGGTCATCGCCATGCTCATCGTGGTCAGCATGATGTTCGGTGTCGTGATCGTCATGGTCATCGTGGTCAGCATGTAGTTCGGTGTCGTGATCGTCATGGCCATCGTGGTCAGCATGGTGGCCGGTGTCTTGATCGTCATGGTGATCATGATGGTCGTTTCCTATATGAATATGAACCCCATGGCTCTGCTCCTCAAGCTTGTGAACTTGTTCAGATAACTTCTCTACTTTAGCTTTTAGTTCTGCAACCTCGTCAACTATAGCTACACCTAGAATCACAACACAAACACTAAGACTACAAACCAGCGAGACTGGGGAAAACATCAACATACGAGATTAAACACCAGCAACAATTCGATTCGAGACAAATTATAACCAATAAGACACTGTACACCAACAATATGAGGATGTACACGTCAATAACATCATACCACTGTACAACAGCAAGCACAACTCCACGGCGGAAAAGGATGAATAGTGATACAATAATGTCCAATTATATTCTAATCAATATTATAATAATATGTAATGTCTTTTGAAACTTACAGCCAACATAGCGAAGAAATTGTTTGTTTTAATTTGCTGACTAACCGGAACCAGTTAAATCGTTTTCAACTTTATGATTTCATAACATTAGTGAGCACCGCCAATGCAATCTGATCGATTCAAATTTTCAGGCAACTTGAAACCCGAGAAACTCATAAATGCACACCTATTAACAAATATAACACAAAAATGACATAAGATGTCCTCTTTTATCCACCGAATTAACTTACTTCTTCTCTGCCGTAGTCTTCTGCCATCGTTTGGGATGATCAACAACAAAGCCACCAGAGCTACGGTCCCAAACAACTTCATGTCTGCTATTTCTGGGTACACAGTTAAATGGGGATAGCCACCAAAACACCCGGCTTTATAACAGATAGTATCTATATATTAACGTGACTGAACAGAGGGTATGTGTATTTATGCGATATGACGAGAAAAAGCGAGATCACAGATACCATTGTCCGTAGTCGTGTCTTTTGGGGTCATTAAACCATTGTATAAGTGTGAAGGTCCTATAATCACACATACCCTACCCTTTAGATTACGTCTCTGTTTAATATACAGAGGTTGTCTACCTCTGCTGTTGGTGTTATTCTTGTCAATAATTTTAACATGTCCTCCACAGATGAGCATAGGTGATTGCGCACTTCTAAATTTGGTTATAGATCCTTAATGCCAAAAATGAATTACAATGCAACAAACATACAGCTGTTTCGTCCTTCCAGGAACCATCGATGCTTCAAGGGACCATAAGATTGGAATTTGGTCTACACTACGAAACCACTTAATTATCTGAAATTCCTAAATCAGACGAACACCGATCAATCTCAAATGAACTAATGAGTAAAGTGTGTATGTTATGAACTGTGCCACAACTGACGAGAATATTGTGGCTATCGTGGTTACGCCAATCCTCGGAGACTAAGAAATGAACGAAAGGCTCACACAGATGACCGCACCTGTAAAATTCCGTAATACAGAATTCCAAAAAATCGCTACACCAAGGATCTGTTTCTACCTCCAGGACTCGTCATGACCGGTATAATGCTTAAAAGTAGCGAGAAAGGTGAAATCCATACTGGTCTGAAGTTCGAGATGTTATGTACATCGTTGGTATTTCGGAGTTTTCGATATTGCATCATGATACTAACAACGATATAGGTAAATACTATGATACCGCCAAAACTGATAAAGAAAACATCTCTCAGTGTTCGTGGCATGCTTTATTTAAACAGGTCCGGGAGTAGTACAACAGCTACTAAACGAACTCGAATGTAAGGTCAAGGCCATCGAGGATAAGTACAAAGAAAAGGTTGATGGCAAGGTGAGAGATAAGAGGTCGAATAATCGAAAAAAGCCAGTAACACAATCTATTCGTTGCCGATGAAAATTCTAAACTATTTAGAATATTCCTTTATTTTTGCCTTTATTGTTTAAAACCACATTGAAACAAAATAAATGAAGATTAATTCAATTGCTTGTGTCTTGTTTCCCGGCGAACACTATTTACTCTTTGTAGGGTTTCAGCCGCTGTGCTTTTTCAGATCCGATAATGCTATCATGTTGGTTTTGTTTCACCAGATTCAGGGAAAGTTCCGGACGGGGTCGGGAAAACCAGGGGAGGTAATCGTCAAGATCGCAGTCGAGGAGAAATCTGGCATGATTATAACGGGGACCCGAGGACAAGGCAAATTCCGGAGGACGGTCATGGGAAGCGTTAGCGATTACATCGTGCATCACGCGCATGTGCCCGTGCTCGTGTGCAGGCAAGAAAAGGACTTGAAGGCATAGCATGGATTGCGGAATTCTATAAGATATAAGTAATGTATTTAATTGGGGCCGTATTCCACTGTGTTGTATACATTGACGTGGACCATGTCATTTAGGTCTCTTTGAGCAAAAGTACCTGAGTTTAGCATCTGACCGGAACCTGATCGGCCTCTCTACACGTGTGTAAAGAGGCCGCTCAGATTCCGGATCGACCATTTTTTAAATTTAGTTTTGCGATTATTTGTTTTTCTAATGCTAAACTCAAGTGCCTGCGCTTGGAGAATAAGTTAGGTCCGAAAGGTCAGGGGTTAAGTCAGTGATGTAAATGGTCGTTATCTATGTGATGTACTTTAAAACGTGACAGACGCTATTGTACTCTCTTTGTGAATTGTATAATGTTGTACGGTTAAACTTGTCTAATACGACACCCATTGGGTCACGATAGACAAGATCGGAAAGGGGTCAGCATTATTTTGTTGGCCTTAACCGGATGTCGGTAAGACAGGTTTTTCTTCAATATGAAAAGTCAGGAAACACCTGTGAAAAAGAAGCCTTTAGTAGTAGATCGCTATCAAAGCTTAGAGTCTCGTTATTTGTCCGTAATTTATCACTTGTCTAATTGAATTAGATATTCGCATCATTCCCGTTTATTGATTTGTCGAGACATACATGTATCAATAAACGGAAGCAATGCAAACATCTCATTTAAATTAGTATACATGATTTGTCATTTTCTT